GTGAACGCTCTCCAGTGCTGCATTGTCCTGCCTTGGAGCCAGGAGACATGGACTAAAAAGATGAGCCAGTATATACATCCACTCCCTTAACTTGAAGGTGTCAGGTACTGTACCTCATCAACGATGGAAGTTGCAAGTGTGACAGATTTCTTTGTGACTGAGAATCACAGAAAGGCGATGTCTCCTATACACCATTCAAGGAAAGTGTCCTTGGGGGATTCATTTGCAATCTTGACATGGAAAATTCTATTTTAACAGTAAGAGTACACAGAGGTTCTTCCTTAAGGAAGAATGCTGCTCAGAATTACTCCCCTGGTCAGTGCACAGGATGCGTTCAGAACAGCCAGGTTCAGAAGATCAGAGGTAACCTGCCCATGAACCACATCCTTGACTCTTACAATGATCCCATTGTGCGGTATAAGGCAGCCTTTGCCAAGTAGGACTCCAGTGAAACCCCAACAGGAAATAGGGCCTCATTAGCAAACCCCAAAAGGAGCAATAGAATATCCAGAAAATCTGAACAACATGTATTAAAAAAATCAGAAGAAAATATGTAAGTGTAAGAAATCCAATGAACTGAAACACCACAAATCTATAAAAATCCTTGATAACTTTTTTGAATGAAAAAAATATGGAAATACACTCATCCGACTGTGCACTAATCACTAGCAGCCGTATACTGTGGTGTATCAACAACTGCCTCGGCCCTGTGCTCTGGGAGGCTAGTGCAGCAGGATCATACATTTGAGCCCAGTCTGGTCCATTGAGTAGCTTAACAAGATCTTGTCAAATCCAAAACAACAACCAAACAAACAAAAAAGAGCAAGACTTAGAACTTAGTGGCTTCAATTTATTTATTTATTAGCTCGTGATACCACGAGGCCCGAGTGTGGGTCAGATGTAGGTGGGTGGTACTTTATGGCATCATCTGCACTGACTCACAGGACGACGCTCAGCTACCATTCAGCAGAAGCAGACCTCACAGAGTGGCCTGCTCACACAACCAGCTGTCGGCTGGGCCTGGTACCTCCCGTGGCAGCAGGTTAGAGGCTACAAGGCCTGCAACCCTCACTGTGGCAAGTCTGGCTTGGTGACCCTCTTGGTGCACTCTATTGTACAAGCTGAGACGAGGTCAGCCCATATTCGTGATGTGAAACAGACCCCCTTGGAAAGGGGGGAGGCCAATTTATAGAAATAAGCAGGTTGGCTACACAAGAGGAAAAACTTGTGGCTGTTTACCACAAGCCTGTCCACACCCAGCACAGTGCACCTTAATGAGCGTTATTCTCCCTGGAACCCAGTCTGGGGCTTGACACACATAGAGGATATATCTAGTCTGCTTTTAAATGAATATACAAGTCTTTGAAAATATAGTTAATAAGTTGCAAGCTGGATGAACAAGGAATTTCAAAATTAAAATCGCCAATGTTCTTTTTAAAACTCAGGTAGTGACATACTGGTTAACTGGTTAATTCACATGCCGCTGTATTTCCACTTTGTTTACATTGGCTTGAAAACTTGTCTTCACTAGAGTTGAGCTGAAACAATTCTAATTTTGACATCCTGAAAAATTGTGCTAGCTTTCTATACTAGCATTTATGGCTATCAAAGTAACACTGATCATACAAGATATATTTATAATCAGTATAAATATATTACTAAGCATCAAGTATATGCTTAAAAATATAACCCTAAAGGACTAGCAAGATAGCTCAGTAGACTAAGCACCTGCTTAGGCAACTGCAGGGACCAGGGTCCAATCCCCAGCACCACATGCCACACTGGCCCCAGCCCCAGGCATGCTGAGCTGTCCACTGAGACTGGGCATGGTGGTGCACGCCTGTAATCCCAGCGCTAGGGAGGCTGAAAACAGGAGGATCACTATGAGTCTGAGCTGCGTAGTGAGACCCTGTACAAAATACATAAAAAATATGCTCTGCCCCACAGTATCTGGGCATACATAGCCACAATCCATTGCTGTATGGCTATGAGATCACTCATTGGCTCTGTTTCACGCTTGCCTAGGAAAGGGAAATGCCCTCCTTTTATGGTCCCCTTTCTTCCCTTTCCATCCACATGCCCTTCTCTTTTCATGAAAGGCAGCAAATGTTTGCAACTAAGTAGTTTTACTGGTGTGTATCTCCCAACTGGGACATCTGGGCCAGAGGTGAGGAGGGTGGTGACCTCCCTTCACCTCCCACCCCATCCCTTCAGGCCAAGCTGCCCTGTTTCTGTGGATACACAGGTACTTAGAACCTGGTGAATCACCTGCACATTACAGGGACTGGCTGCATTCAGCAAGAGGCTTGTCCCTGCATCTCTGCTAGATAATCCCACCCCTCTTCTGCTTTTGCTGAGATGGCTGAGGGACCACGCCTGTAAGCTTCTTAGATGTTCTGCTTTGATTAGGTATCTGTGTGTCGCAGCCTTCAAAGAGCCTTTGTGCAAATGAGGACTCTCTTTCATCTTTCTGAGGTATTAACAGAAGATGGCACAGCTTTATTTAACATTCCTTCCTAAAACGTCGTCTTGCAATTTTAGCATCTTTTATCACACAGATAGGCTGCGCATCCAACTCCTGATGCTTTGCTTACATTTATCTTGCTCCGCTCACCTTTTACTATAAGCAGCAAGATAAAGACAAGCCATATCTTTAACATTTTGCTGGGAAATCTCCTCGCCTAACTATCCAGGTCCATCCTTTCTAAGCTGTTTTTCAAGTTTCTTTTTTTGTAATTCCTTAGTTCAGAGGTCTGATGTGGGTCTCCCTGAGCTACAAGTGAAGTGGCCAGGCAAAAGGCCCTCCTGGCTGCTCTTGGCAAGGCTCTGGTTTCTTGCCTGTTCTCAGTCCCGGAGACTCCTGCAGGCTTTGTCTTGTGCTTCCCGCCTCCATCTCCAAGGCCAGCAACCACAGGCTGGCTCTTTCTCCTATCTCCTTTCTCCAACTCTTTTCCATCAAAGCGTGTCTCTCAGACCACACCCAGGACAGATTTCCACTTCTAAGGAGCCTGCATGGGCAATCCAGGGTAAGCTCCTCATTTCAAGGCCCACAGCATTAATTATGTCTGCAAAGTCCTTTTTACTGCTGCTGAAGATAACATTTTCAGGTTCTGAAGATGAGGGCATCTCTTCGGGAGGCCATTATTCTCTGACCACAGAGAGAAATTTCTATCATGTGAAGCCATTGCTGTTTTGATTTGGGCAATAGCAACCACAGTGGTGTTTGAGTTGATATCCTCCTGTCCAGTTTTGTATTCCTCAGTGGTATGAGGTTCTGCCTTCAAAATACTACCTGATGGTTGTACATGTCTTTGAAGATGCTAACACCCATTAAATGGATTCATTGCTTCTAAGGCAGGAAACAATGGCCTCACACTCCATTCCCTCCATATTTAACAGCACGGTTGGATAGCTATATTATGGCCTTATTTTCTGTGCATTTTGCTCTGAAATTAAAGCATGTGTAATAAGGAAGATGCATTTTTAAATCATAATAAATGGGTCAATTGTATGCTCTATGAGCACAATTAGACATTTTTTGTTCAAAAAATAAAATGAAATATTACCTATTTGCAAGGTAACAGGCACTAGAAAGGAAAAAAAAAAAAACTATGTTCTTTGTGACCTAAAGATATTTCATTTATATGAGCTGCCTTTGATCATAGATATATTAATTGCTATCAAATAAATTGGGTTTTAAATACTAGGAGAACTTCCCATGGGTAATTGTTTATAAAGTGAAACAATACTTTATAAAGTGAATAAGCATCACCTCTTGTACCATTTTTAGTCCAGATTTTCTACAGATTTGTCTGACTAAAATAGAAAATTAACACCTATGTTGTTGCAGCCTGTAATTCCAGTGCTTGGGAGGCTGAGGCAGGAGGATCACTGCGAGTTCAAGGCCAGCCTAGGCTACTAAGTCAGTTTAAGGACCAGCCTCACAGGACATGATGAGCCAGTAAGTAGCTCAAGAAAATTGAGCAGAATTGTTAAGCTATTTTAAATAGTATAATGACTAAGTAAACAAATAATTTGTCAGAATTGTGGGAAATAGAATATCTACTATAGTAAGATTATTATTCATAGATTCAAAAAAGGTAGAAAGACCAAATGGTAGGCATAATTATGCTAACTTTTTCGGTTTTGATTTTTTTTTAATTTTTTGTTTACTTGGTATAGGGTCTTGCTATGCAGTTCAGACTCATAGTGATCCGCTTGTCTCAGCCTACCCAGCACTGGGATTACAGGCATGTGCCACCATGCCAAGTTTCTGTGGCTGGCACAGCACGCAGTACTGGGGATCAAACCCAAGTCCTTGAACTTGCCAGGCAGGTGCTAGGTCCACTAAGCTATCTCCCCAGCCCTGCATTTTTTGTTTTTGAGATAAGGCCTTGTTTTTTAGTTTAGGCTGGTCTTGAACTCACTATATAGCCAGGCTGGCCTCAAATTCTCAGAGATCCTCCCACTCAGCCTCTGAGGTGCTGGGATTTTAGGTGTGCACCAACACACCCAGTTTCCTTATGCTGCCTTTGAGCTGGCAGCAAAAGAGTTGTGAGCTGACTGCCTCTCTGTGACACCCATGATGCCCTCCTTGTGGTACCATATTTGCTCTGTAAGAAAATCAAAAGAGAAATTAATGGATCAGTTGAACCACAGGTTCAGCAGGAAATACTTGTGCGGCGGGCAGGACACAGGGACATTGCATAGCCCAGGACTTGGGCAAGGTACACTTTGTTCTCTGTCCTAAAGTGTGTAAACAGCCCCATCTCTTTCCCTTTGCTTTTTGCTAACTGCTCAATTGATTTGCAAACTGTCTCAGTTACTTTTCTCTTATTGCTGGGACAAAATATCCAACACCCAAAATAAAGGAAGAAAAAAAGGTTTATTTAGCTCACAGTGAAGGTTTCAGTCCATACTCAGCTGGCTCCAAGGTGGAATGGCATATGGCATCCGGCAGCAGTTCATGACAGTGGAAAACAGCAAAGAGCAGAGGGAGAGGCAGTGGCTGCAGCTCCTAGCAAGCTCCTCTCCCCTTCTCACATTGTACTGCAGATTAGCCACCCAGGACAGGAGTAGTGCTCACACCCATAATCCCAGCATTGCATCACGAATTAATCACAAACTCTAGAAGATGCCCCATGACTGCATGAGGCTTTGCAGGAACATCTAGACAAAAACCATGACACAAACTATGTGATCTGAGAGTCTTAATTTGTTCCATGAGCCCTTCTGGGATATGGGGATAATTTTCAGGGTAGCATTCTGGGAGGTGGTATTCTGGGAGGTGGTATGAAATCAGATGGGTGATAAAAGGTTAACAGGAAGAGAAGCTGTGAACGCAAACCCTAGACAACAGATTCCTGAGTAATACTCAAGGATTCACAGTCACATAAAATAGCTTTAGGACTTGGAGCCACACATTGCTGAGTTTCCTGCCCCAGTGTATGCATCCCCATCTATTCAGCTGAAAACAGAATCTGAGAGTCAAGGTGCCCTGAGCCCCACTTATAAGTGCAGGAGGTTTTGAGGGGATGTGCAGAAGGTGCAATGGCTTATATCTAGAGCTCTTTCTCTTTTGCCACTCCCCTTTGGCCCCATGCCACCCTGCCTTGGAGCCGGCCAACTATGAACTGAAGCCTCTACAACTGTGGGGCAGAATTTCCTCCTCACAATTGTGCATATCAGGTATTGTTTCTCAATGACAAGAAAGTCACTAAGAAAGAACATATTTAGCGAGAATTTGTTAAACAATGAAATACACCTTTAGAGCCAGCACAAATCACACCTCCCGTGAAAATCTCATTTCCCCCACAGTCACACTTTTTCTAATGCTCGTGCATTTAAGGCAGTTGCTAATAGCTGGTTGTGAGAATTGCTTCAATAGTGCCGCCCCTTCAGAACAATAGCTGTATTCTGAGCAATGGCCCTTCTGAACAATGAAATACATTTGTAAGTAGTTAACAAAGGGATTCTTAAATAAATATTGTCTCTGTGACATCTGGGTAAAGGAGGCAGAAGTATTATTCCTAGCTACATTTTTCTAATGTTCAAACTGAGTCACAGAGGCCACCTGAGAGTCACACACTAATAATAAGTGACAAAGCAAGACAAGGACTAATCGCTTAGGCCTTCTGATTTCTACTTTTTAGAAACAATTCCGACCCCCTTCATTTTCCTAAAAGTAAAATTTTACACAAACAAAGGATCTACAATCTGAGGCACAGGATCTCAGGATAAATCCTGAGGGGATTTCACTGACCTTATCAGACCCAAAAGCTACAACTCTTGTTGCACAGGTCCTGCTTTACCTTGGTCTTAACCATCCAGTAGAAAAGTATGAAGACAAAGTATAGGAAGTAAATCCATGCTGTTATGTTGAGCTGTGGGGGACTCAGGTCAATAATTTCTGATATTGCCAGTGAAGCGGAAGCCCCAATACTATTATGGACTACTGGACTCTTTTAGAATATTTTGCTGAGTTTACACACCTATAATATTCAAATAACAGAACTAAACAAAAAAAGGGGATACAGATGAATGTCCATTTTGTATCTGTGTATTCAAAATGGTTAGGATAGATATATAGTTACATTCTCTTAATGAATAGAGGGATTTGTTCTAATAGAGTTTGTAAATAGGATATCATGTCTGCATCTTGTACAGCAGTTAACCACTAGGAAGAATGTATGCAATGTGTTAATTATTGAAACTGTCCTACCAATTTGGTTTGAAACTGTCTCGTTGCTATTTATTTCTCAATACAATTATGGGAAAAATAAATAAATAAATGTGATAGGTAAAAAGAAGAGAAGAATTTTCAACGCTGAGTTATAAACATAATTAAATGAGTGATTTATTGATATGAGATAAGCTATCTAAGAACTGTTAGCTCCAGACTATTTCTACATGTGATACAAACATGTGACAGATTCTTCAGTAAATAATAAATTCTAACATAAAAAATAAATTAAATAAATAAATAAAAGAAACCGACCACAAAAAGATGGTCTTAGAACTCAAAGTAACTCAGTGTAGACATTCACTATGACCAAAGTTCCAACTTAAAGAATAGAAAATTTTAGTTTTCTTTTGTGGAGAACCTGGGGACACCCTATGGAGACAGCAGGCAGTAGAACTAAGTGGAGAAAACAAAGAAGCTGAGTTTATGAGCTTGGGAAAGATGCTTCAACACCAGGTTCCAAGAGTCCCAACTATACACTGAGGTAATAGATCTGCATCCATTTCCAGGAGTCTGAGGCTAATCTGTCTGATGCACAGCAGCCAAGGGTAGAAATTCAATTTGGGCACATATTTGATAGAACAATAATGTATGCTGGTTTGGGGACCAAGAGTGCAAAGATACGAGAAACTGTACAAGAAAGCTCACTGACTGTTTCCTCTTGGGAGCCTCCATAGAGTGTGGGGAACTTGCATTCATTCTCCTCTGTGTCGTAGACTGATTTCTAAAGTTCACGATGTTGTGTACATATAATTAAGTTAAATTCACTTTCTGCTCTTTCGAGCATTGACTATGTGTTTCTCCTCTTCATGTCTCTTTCTATCCCTTATACAAAGTGAGCATGAATTGTTCCCTTGTTGGAAAACGAAACAAAACAAAAAAAGTAAAATTTTATTTGGCTAGTAGCTTATCAGAACAGAGGGAACTTATACACTTCAGAACTGAACATTTTTACATTTTCTTTTGGGAGATGAGAGAAGGGAGTTTTTCCTAAACTTTCACATCCAGGTAAGCATAAAAGTCAAAGGATAAGTGGGGAGAAATCTGACAACAATGAGCTCAGTCTAGTTGGCAGAGGATGCTGGGGAGATGCTGGGGCCTGATTCTTGGATCCAAAGAGTACCCAGAGATAAGCCAGAGGCTAGCTTTACATAGTCAGTTACTCAGACTTCCTGCTGGGGCAAGGAAATCTAGCCATGCCAAGGACTTCCCATCTAACTTTCAACCAATATGGATTATTTGCCAAGAACAAGGAACCCTTAAAATCAACCTGTCTTGGAATTTTCAAGGAAATCAAGAAATTAGCCTACTAGTGTTGCTTCTAATACAACATGCCGGCCTAAACAGGACTTGCCTCCCCCTCCTCAAATTACATTGCCATGAACAAAGCAGGGAAGGCGTAGAGCACCGCACATCACATACAGCCTTCTGTGGTCAGAAGCTTGACAGGTTTCTGGAAATAAAGAGGTGAGATGGAAATGTACTGGCAGATGAAACGGAGGAAGAAGCCACAGCTCAGAATGTGCATAGAGAATGCTATAGCGAAGGCCAGAGCTGGTGTGTGCATGTCAGGGGCTTGGGATAACTCTGAGGTCCAGGTCTCGGGAACAGGGCTGAGGGAGGGAAGTGGAGGGGAAATCAGGGTGGTGAACTGAAGGTCTAGCGCGAGAAGACTTGGACAGTCAGGCTACCTTCTCACACTTACTTTTCGAGAGCAGCACTAGGCCAGAGGATTGTTTCTAGAAAAGAGAACTGAGCCTCACTTGCTAAAGAGCAAGTAAAAAAAAATCTTAGAACCAAGACTACTGGCTTGTGTCTAGCACTTTCAGTGCATTCCCATCATTTGCCTGACTGCGCAGGCAAATTCTTTTTTTTTAACCAGGAATCAAACTCAAAACCTTATGCCAGGCAGGTGTTTATGCTGCTGAGCTATGCCAGCCCCCATTTTTTTTTCTTTTAGAACCCCAGTTCTTGCATTAGCTATATTCCAACCACTCAAAAAAAAAAAAAAAAAGAGTAAATTAACTTCCTCTCTTAGCTGAGAGGTGGTCACCTAGCCACAGAGAACCACCTCATCTTGGACTTTCAGCCTCCAAAACGGACCTAAAGGAGCCCTTTTATTTTTAAAGTACTACACATTAAGTATTGTGCTCTAGAGACAAAAAACATAGTCTAGATCACCTCTCTAACAGACAGAAGCAAAGAATGAAAATGGTCCAAATACATTCACTCTCCAATTATACCCTGGAGAAACCAGGGTTTCTAAATGGTGGCTGTTGCCAGCAGGTTAAGCCCCCAGAGACAATCTGTCTCCTGTCCTGCTCTGAGCCTTGTCCCTCCACTTTTCCCAAGAGTGTGTGTGCTCTCCCACATCTATACATCTCCAGCGCATCTAAAGAACATGGCACGGGGCTGAAGAGATGGCTCAGTGGTCTAAAGCACCTACTTGAAACAAGCTTGGCAAAGCACAGGGACCGCTGTTCGATCCCCCAGCACCACATGCCAGCCAGCCCCGCCCCCTGGTGGGCTGAGCTGGCCACACACACACACAATAAATAAATGTAATAAATAAAAATAAATAAATAATTAAAAAAATAATAAAAAAAAAATAAAGAACATGGCAGGATGCCATGTGCCTAGAGTTCAGCCCTAGCTACTTAGCCTTCTCTCCGCCCCCTCATCTACCCACTATAATTTGAACATGGTCATCCCCCAGAGGTTCACATGCTAGAAACTTGGTCCCCAGTGTGCCAATACTGAGCTGGAGGGGTGGGACAGCGGCCAGTGCTATCGAGCTATGTCACAAGGGCACTGTCATGTGAAAGGGTCAGTGCTCTGTCATGGAGTGAGTTAGCCACTGGAGAGCAGATGGCTGCAAAGCAAAGCCATCCATCTGCTCACCTCTTCTGCTCACGCACATTCCCCTCCCATTTCTCCACCACACTGTGGTATAGGCAGGGGTGCTCACCTCAGAGGCCAACCACAGGGAGCCACCCCATCTTGGACTTTCAGCTTCCAAAACTGAACTAAATTAACCCCTTTATTTTTTTTTCATAATTTTATTGATGAACAGATAGCAATAAGACAGTTTCAAATCAAACCAGTAGGACAGTTTCAATAACCAACACACTGCATATATTCTTCTTAGTGGTTAATTGCTGTATAAGATGCGGACCTGAGATCCTATTTACAGACACCATTAAAACAAATCATTCTATTCATTAAGAGAATGTAACTATATCTCTATGCCAACCACTTTAAATACACAGATAAAAAATGGACATTCATCTGTATACCTCTTTTTTTCTAAGTTCCGTTATTTGAATATTATAGGTGTATAAACTCAGCAAAATATTCTAAAAGAGTCCAGCAGCCCATAATAGCACTGGGTCTTCTGTTTGACTGGCAATGTCAGAAATTGTTGACCTGAGTCCCCCACAGCTCAACATAACAGCATGGCTTTACTTCCTATATTTTGTCTTCATACTTTTCTACTGGATGGTTAAGACCAAGGTAAAGCAGGACCTATGCAACAAGAGTTGTAGCTTTTGGGTCTGATAAGGTCAGTGAAATCCCCTCAGGATTTATCCTGAGATCCTGTACCTCAGATTGTAGAACCATTGTCAGTGTCAGCCATGTGGATGAGTCACGGCCATTGCTTGGCCAGTGTGCTCTCTGTGAAAGCCTGAGAGAGTGTTTTCTCTCCATGTGACTCTCCTTAGGCACACTCTACGTCATCGATCACTTTCCTCTTTTGCCTCATAATCTCCTTGATCAGAAAATTTGGGACACTACCGAGGTACATGACATTACAGTACGAGTTCTCATATGTCCTGAGTCTTAATTGACCTTAGAAGGTTAGGGCCAAAATGTTGGCTTTCCTTGTAGCCCTCCTTTTTCTCTAATTTTGGTCTGCAAACTTAGGTTGTTAACCATCCAGAAGACAAGCTTATTGTTATTATCAAATGACTTAGGCTATTAAGCTTAACCTCACTATCTCTCTACATTTCAAACATCTTAGGCATAATAAGGAACAGGTATTTTTCATCAAGTATTGATATGTTGAACTTTAAGTCCCTACATAATATGATAAAAAAAATTAAAAAATTAGATTATATTTTAAAAATAGGCATAAAGAATTATATACTTCTCATGTTTGCATATAAGTCCAAAAATCTCACCATATACAACCTTGAAGCAGGACAGTCCCACAATGTTCCTTTTCCTGTCTCTTGCTTTCATTCACCACCCCCTTCTTCTTGAACATCCACCTACCTGAGAGACATCATAGCAGTAACTGGCATGTCATGACAAGCAGCCCATATTCAGAATACCAGAATGACAAGCACTCCAAACATGAAACTACTATTACAGATTACCATGTGCAGTGCAGTAGCTTAGTTCACAGGTATCAGTATATATAGTTAGTCAGGGTGAAAATCTTTCCAATTAACTGCTAGATTAAAAAATCTTTTGAAGATTCTCAGGATCATTGCCTTGCTCATCTTTTACATATAACTGTATGGCTTGACATTGTCATGTTTCCTAGCTCTTCTCCTTTCCCTCTCTTGATAAGTTAGTCCTTGAGATCCTGCTTTCCTTTTACTTGTATTGTATCTTTCTATTTGTATTTCTTCTTTTGAGTGCTTATACTAGGGAGACTATACGATATTTACACATGTGTGTCTGGTTTATTTCACTTATGAGTATATGTTCAAGTGGCATCCACTTCAATATAAAGGCTTGCAGTTTATCATTCTTAATAGCTGAATAATACTCCATTGTGTAAAAATACCACATCTTTCTCAACCATTCCTCAGGTGATGGGCATCTTGGTTGTTTCCAAGATTTGGCTATCACAAATTGTGCTGCTATAAACATAGGCACACATATATCCCTATGATAGGATGTTTTCAGATCCTCCAGGAAAATTTCCAGTAGAGGAATATCTGGTTTAAAGGGGATTTCCAGACCAACTTTTCTAAGGAGTCTACATACTGATTTCCATAACGGTTGCACCAGTCTACTTTCCCACCAGCAGTGGAGAAGGGTTCCTTTTTCCCCACAGCCTCTCCAACATTTGTTGTTGGGTGATTTCTTTATGATAGCCATTCTTTCTGGGGTGAACCCCTTTATTTTTTAAAGTACTGCACATCAGGTATTTTGTTCTAGAGTCAGAAGACATAGTCTACAGTGAAGTCTGTCCATCCATTCCTGTTGGTTTTAGACTGATAGCTTCCATTCAATGGCCAGCAGATGTACATGATGAGCAGCTTAGGGCTTAGATGATCGAGCCAATGTTTCAGTGGCAAGAAGACAATGTAAAAATAATTTTCATGAGACTACCTAAGAGATTTGAGACAACAATGCTTAGAAAACCTGGGGGGGGGAGAGCAGAGAGATAGCTCAGAGCCATAAGCACCTACTTGGCAAGTGTAAGGACCCAGGTTTGTTCCCTGGCCCCACGTGCCATGTGGTCTCAACTCCAGATGCCCAGGTGCCCATCATGCAGCCCTGGAACTGGGCATGGTGGTGCATGCCTGTAATCCCAGGGTGAGTCAGGAGGATCTCTGTGAGTTTGAGACCAGCCTGGGGGCTACAAAAGTGAGCACAAGGCCAGCCTGAGATAGTGAGACCCTATCTCAGAAAAAAAAGAAAAGAAAGCCTACAATGGGCTTGCATAAAGGAACAATGAAAACTACAACAAATAAGTGCTTTCAACTTTTTAGAAAGGCTTTAAGAAAAAGTTAAAGCAATCTTCTGAAAGTTAGCACAAAGCCAAAGAAATGAAAAATAGCAACAAAATTCTAAGAGTCATACTGAGGATTTATCCAGGGAGGTATTGCCCCCATATGAATTTCAGAAAGCAAAATAGTAAAACTATAGAGAAAAAATAGGAAATAAATAATAAATGACCTGAAGAGGAAGAAAGATGTGTAGTTTTTGTTATGGGTCAACTCTGCATAGGAACCAGATCAGCCAGATAGAAATTTGAATAGAGTCTTTTATTTACTGAGCTCAGGTCCATCAGCCACTTCTCTCGCAGAAGAAGGCTGATGGGCCCCAAACGTAGGTAGCAAGGGGGGTATTTATAACAGAAATCACATCCAGTTTGGTAAGCAAACTTGTTATCTAGTACAAAACAACAGAAACTGCATTCATTTGACACAGTTGCAAACTGTTCATAACTAAAGGGTCTTTCACAGCTTAGTGATAAGTGTATATTTTTACAAGATACATCTTAAGCTGACTACGTTACAGGAGATGGTTGGGGAGGGAGTTTGTGTTAGCTTGGTGCCTTGACAAGAAACAGTTATTTATTGTTGAACAGCCTTGAGCTGAAAGGGAGAACACATTTCTTAGAGCAGATAACAGGAAGCACAAGGGGTTTTTATAATTTTCCACAATTTAGGCACAAAACTCTATTAACCCTTTACAGTTTTATTAATTATATAGGCTCAGCAAATTCAAAGAAGAGGAACAAAAAAGACCAACACAAAGATACATCATTGTGAAATTTCTCAATAAGACATATTTGTCCTAAAACAAAACAAAACAAAACAAAAAGTTAACTATAAAGAAAGAAAAATAAGATCTGTATTACGTGCATCAACAACAAAGGATGTTAGAAAATAATTCTCCACATTCAAAGGGAAAAATCATTTTGAACCTAATATTCTGTATATAGCAAACTCACAGTCTGAGGTAGAAAAGGATGACATTGTCTCAAATATGACAGCTGAAAGAAATGGTCTCGTGCAATCTTTTTGGAAAATTCCTTTTTAAAAGTAACCAGTAAGTCAAAGGAAGATTTTAAAAAAAAAAAAAAAAAAAAGATCTAAGGGAGAAAAGAAGGAAACATAAGATCTAATAAATGGGACAAAACCGAGTAGCTTGGGGCTGGTAAGATGGCTCAGTGGTCTAAAGCACCTACTTAGAACAAGCTTAGCAAAGCACAGGGACCGCGGTTCAATCCCCAGCACCACATGCCAGCCAGCCTCGCCCCCTGGTGGGCTGAGCTGGCCACACACCCACACACACACACACACACATACACATAAATAAATAAAATTTTAAAAATAAATAAATAAAAATTTAAATTTAAAAAAACTGAATAGCTCAATGTTTTAAAGTAAGTTAAGACTTGTACAGCAGATGAGGAAGTAATTAGGTCAAATTAAAACAATAAATTGGAGAATAAGGGGGGGGAGGTTTTGGTTTTGGTTTTGTTTAGTTTTTTGAGACAGAGTCTTCCCATGTAGTTCAGGCAGTCCTTAAACTCACTATGTAGCCCAGGGTGGCCTCCTACTCATGGCAACCTTCCTGCCTCAGCCTCCTTAATGCTGGGGTCACAGGCATGCACCACCGCACCCAGTGAGAATAAGCATTGAGAAGAGAACGTATATTGATAATCAAATCAAACAGATGCTGTGATGCTGTGAAATTATATATGTATTTTTGGTCCTTGGGGAGAAAAAGATAAATAGAAACACCAAGGGGGAGAAAAATTCCCAAAATAAGAAAGCCAAAACTCAAATGTGAAGCTGAAATTGCTGTGTGATTTCAAGCCAATATGTGAGTAAAAAGAAAACAAAGTCCCCTTGACCTTGGTGATTGGAGTATTCTTCTTTGTCTAGTTCAGCTAGTGACCTTTCCTTCTGACTGCACAGAGATGTTCTTTACAGAATTAGATGTGTGTGACTGATAATAATGTGAACACTTTTTATTAGTATCTCATTGTTATTGTAAATAAACACACAGGAAATGATAGGAGACAGTGCAAAATGGTGGCTAAGATCCTACAGTGATCACCTTCCTATAAGACATACCAATTACAGCAGCAATTCCCTTAACAAACTATCTCTACAAGATCTTCACAAGAGCTAAGCATGGGCTGGGTTTGTGGCTCAATAGTAGAGCTCTTGCTTCATTTGTATGAGGTCCTGGTTTGATCCACAGCACCATAAATAAATAAATAAATAAATAAATAAATAAATAAATAAATGGCTATGCAATCAATCCAGGTAGGAGGGTAGGGTGCCTAGATTTATTATAATAAAATGAAAAGACGCATTGTAGAAGGCAGGAAATAAAAAGTTGCCTCCTCTAACATCCAACTCAAGCCAGCTCAGTGTAAAGAGTGAGGCCTATGATTTAGGGAAGAGAGGGAATTAAGTCAAGGCCTTAGACTTAAAACCTAGCACCAAAGAAACCTAGTGCCGGCCTACAACCCCCTACCAAGAGTTCCATACCAGCACACTGAGCTGCTGGAACAGCACTAGTGAAGTGACAAACAGCCTCCAACACCCTTCCCCTGACCTCAGCCAGCAGAGAGGGGAGCAAGACTCCACCCACTGGGAAATAGGACATGAAAGTTAGCACAGGACTTTACCTTGGAGCTCAGAACTGAGTGCACCTTGGTGAGACCCAGTGACAGGCAGAAAATGAAACCACTATTATATCAAGGCCGGAGTCCACACACAGAGCCTCTAGTCATGCCTCAGCATGAGGGCAAGATAGACAAGCACACAGATGAGACAAATTTGAATTGTGTCCTTTAGCATTGCCAGTCTTAAGATATACACTCAGCCTGTGCAGGTCACAGTAGTTGTAAGACGTTACTGCAACTAAACTTGACATCAGCATTAGCTTAATGCCCAAGGAATCACCTCCACTAACCCCTCCCCCCAACTTGATGCAACAAATATTGCAAGGACAGTGCTTGCAATGCCTTTAGATCCATCTTGGCACCAGGAAGAGACCTCTGCCCCATTGGGATAGACTTGTGGTTCTGCTTGTGTCACCACCAAATAGAATGTAGGCCTGAATGCACCCCTAAGAGTATGTAGCTAGAGACTTGGGCATGACCCTGCTTAGCATTAGTCTTCGTAGCCAAAGAACTGTCTTCACCAACATTATTCCAACCTTGGACAGCATAGCATGAAGTACATGTCCACTCACTGAGAGTAGGACAGGGTAGGAACCACAGAATTTTGTTCTAGAACTCAGTACCAGGCAGGTAAAACCTAACACTCAGCAGATCCTAATGGCCACCCTCCCCAGGCCAGCGCACACAAGTAAAGTCTCTGGATAAATCCTGGTGCCAGGGAAACATATGTGACCCCAGATTACCAGACTTATCAGGCTTCTATTTGAACCAGCATCACCAAAGTCATGCAAAATTAATCTTTTTTTATCTTCAAAATTGAGGGAGAAATAACGACTTTCCATGACAAAGGATCTGAAGAAATTCATGACCACCAAACTAGCATTGCAGAAAACACTCAAGGGAATCCTAAACAGAGCCAGTGAGGCCAACATTACCTAAAAGCCCAAATGAAAGAGTACAGCTAACTCAAAGAGTAGTTAAACAAAAGGAAGAAAATAGGAATCAGTGCTAGAAAATAATACATTTCTGGAGGTTAGTAAATTGCCTTCAATAACAGCTCTCAGTATAATTGATCTTTAATTCCTCAATCAAAAGACACAAACTAGTAAATTGAGTCAAAAAACAGTACTCGGGGGTCGGGGGGATGGCTCAGTGGAATAAGCGCTTCCCTGGCAAGCACAAGGGTCTGAGTTCAATCCCTGGTTCCACAAAAAAAAAAAAAAAAAGAAACAAATAGTACTCAACTATCTGTTGCCTACAAGAAACATGCCTAATCCATACAGAGACACACAGACTGAAAGTTAAAGGATGAAAAACTATACCCCATATAGCCAGAACAAAGAGAAGGCAGGAGCAGGTATTTCAATCTCTGACAAAGTGGACTTCAAACCCAAACTGATGAGGAGGGACAAAGAAAGTCACTACATAGTGATAAAGGGAACAGTTCACCCAGAAGAGATAATAATTGTACACGTGTATGCACCAAATGTTGGTGCACCCAATTTCATGAAATAAAAATTACTCAGCATAAAAGAACACATAGTTTCTCATAAAATCATAACACGGGACTATAATACTCCACTTTCAAAAATTAAACAGGTCAACCCAACAAAAACATCAACAAAGAAATATCAGAGTTGAGCCATGCCATTGAACAGATGTATGTAACAAATAACCACAAACTGTTTCATGCAAAAAGAGTGGAATACATATTCCTTACAGCAACTTATGAAACAGTGTCCAAAACAAACTATATTTTAGGACATATAGTGTGTTTAAATGAATACAAATGAACTGAAAGAATTTCTCATATCCTATCAGATCATAATGGAATGGAATAGAAATCAATAGCAAAAGAAACTATAGAGGAAGAAGAAGAAGAAGAAGAAGAAGAAGAAGAAGAAGAAGAAGAAGAAGAAGAAGAAGAAGAAGAAGAAGAAGAAGAAGAAGAAGAAGAAG